GGTCCCGGTCCAGCCGCCACCCGGCCAGGCTGTACTGGTACAAACTGGGACACGGCACCGCGGCCTCGCGCCGCGGCCTCACCTCCTCCTGCTCCAGCACCGGCACCGTCCGCTCGCACCAGCGCCTGCGGGCAGCCAGGGCATCCGCGGGGATCCGCGGGATCTGCCCGGGATCCGCCCGGGATCCGCCCGGGATCCGCCCGGGATCCGCCCGGGATCCGCCCGGGATCCGCGGAGATCCGCCGGGATCCGCCCGGGATCCGCCTGGGATCCACCCGGGATCTGCCCGGGATCCGCGGCATCCGCGGGGATCAGCCGGGATCTGCCCAGGATCCACCCGGGATCCACGGGGATCTGCGGGGATCCGCCCGGGATCCGCCCGGGATCCACTGGGATCTGCGGGGATCCGCCCGGGATCCGCCCGGGATCCGCGGGATCCATGGGGATCAGCCGGGATCTGCCCAGGATCCGCCCGGGATCTGCCCGGGATCCGCCCGGGATCCGCAGGGATCCGCCCGGGATCTGCCCGCACCTGGCACAATCCCAGCTCCATCCCAGCTCCCACCTGGCACCCCCCGTCCATCCCTGCTCCTGGCACCCACCCCAACTCCCATCCCTGCTCCTGGCACCCACCCCAGCTCCCATCCCGGCTCCTGACACCCACCCCAGCTCCCCACTCCCATTCCCAGTTCCAGACCCTGATCTCCAGTTCACACCCCCAGTTCCCAGTTCTTTCCCAGCTCTCAAACCCATTCCCTGTTCCCATTCCCCATTCCCAGCTCCCTTCCCAATTCCCATCCCCAATTCCCCATTCCCAATTCCCATTCCCCATTCCCATCCCCCAGTCCCCATCCCCGTTCCCCATCACCATCCCCATCCCCCATTCCCCATCCCCCGTTCCCATTCCCATTCCCCAGTCCCCATTCCCATTCTCCATCCCCATTCTCTGCTCCCATTCCCCATCCCCATTCCCCATCCCCGTTCCCATTCCCATTCTCCATCCTCATTCCCAATTCCCATTCCCATCCCCCATTCCCATTCTCCACCCCCATTCCCAGTACCCATTCTCCATCCCCATTATCAGTCCCAATTCCCATTCCCAATTCCCATCCCCTTTCCCACTCCCATCCCCCATTCCCATCCCCGTTCCCATTCCCATTCCCATCCCCATTCCCATTCCCATTCCCATTCCCCGTTCCCAATCCCAGTTCCCATTCCCCATTCCCCATCCCCATCCCCATTCTCGGTTCCCATTCCCCATCCCCGTTCCCCGTTCCCGTTCCCATTCCCATTCCCCATCCCCATCCCCATCCCCAT